CGCAAGCCTGTTGAAAATTGTGCACATTGGATGAATTCTAAATTAGTTGTCCACCGAATTGATGATTGTTACCGTTAAATGGCTCAGTAGTGGAAATTAAACTTAATTATAAAATCTGTTAAGTAGATTTCAGGAGACATGTCCATGATATGATGACAGACTCTAAGCAAAGAGGGTAACTGGCTCACTGAATGTCAGTCCAACACAAGAAATTGGCATTAGCACCATTTTCCTGTCTCCACTATAAACAGCTACAAATAACTACTTAAAAAAATACATTTATTTAGTTATTTATAATGAGATTACCTGTACATAACACAGAACGTCTTGTTAGAATATCTGACCATTTACCATTATAACAGTAATCTCTGCCAGACAGAAGTTCAGTCTAAAGACTACTTAAGGTGGCTTTTTTAAGAGGCTGCCCCACAGCCTAGTATAAGATATATAAGGATTATTTTGAGCATAATCATGCAAAGCTAGTCTAGATGACTCCATGCGTTATCCAAAGGCAGCACGGTGGTGCACAAACATGCATGCTGGGTGTAGTACAGTCCAGGAATAAAAGTGTGTAACTGGAACTGAGCTTAATAGGTCGCTTTTATTTATATAAAATCTCAAATTGTTTATATAACTGTTTCTTTTCCTCATAATTTTTTGGGGGGTGTCACCTTGTCGTATGTAATGTCCTGCTGTTACCAGAAGGTGGCAGTTGAGGACTGCTCGGATATGATAAGCGACTGTAATTATGCTTGAAATGCCCATCCCTGGTAAAAATTAAATACAGTCTGTACAGTCGCTGCAGAATCACAGATCTTTTTAAGTACACCCACACACTGAACATCACCCTTCAAAACAAAAGCTCACTGCTGATTTTTTTTTTTTTGTCATAAAATGACCATTACTGAGTAAAAGCAGTGGCTGTTCATAAATGTTTACTGTGGGAAAATGACTTTAAGTGTAATCAAATCAATGAATTGGATGAATTGCGGGGTAAGAAATACACAGGTTTTTATGTAGAGACCTTTTGCTACATATCACCATGTGCATGTGTCGTATATGTGGACCTTTAAGAGTTTAAATGAATGGTTATTTCATAGCTGTGTGGAATCATTTTATGTTTCGACGAAAAAAACCAAGCCGTTACCATTATTACAAATTATTGAGAAGAAACCTGAGAGCTGTTTTGTTTTTCTGTATTTCCTTTTCTGCCACTCGGTACCATCAGTTCCTGCGCCTTCATTTGTTCTTCGCAAATTAAAAAAAGAAAAGAGGGAAAAAAAGCTCAGTTTTTCAGTTTTAGAGCACAGCGGGGGGAAGAAGAGGAAAAAAAGCTCACTACTAAACAGCCCCTGGGGACAGAGGTGGCATTCAGGCGTGAATATTTATCAACTCCACGGAAATATGAGCCGGGTGAAATAGAAAATAAGGGCACTTTTATGAATTTTCAGAGGACATGTTTGCCACACGAGTCCCCTGATGCTTTTGGTCACGCAGCGCTGACAATATTTGAAAGAGGCTGTTCGGGGTGGGAGTATTGTTGGCTACAACAAACACGCTGGTTCGATTCACGCCTTAAGATGACATATTTGTGATTATGCTGAAATGTTTGCTTTCCTTTCTGTTGCAGGGCCGCGCGACGTGATGCCTCTCATCTTTCCTGTCCTCTGGTTTGCTCGCCTTTAGTTTCGGCATGTCCTCAAACACCCGAGCAGCCTGCAGAATGAGTGGATTCATTTTGTTTTGCCACCCTTGTTTTTTGTAACCTTGAGGAATCTTAAGAATAATAAGAGTTTTTAAAAAAAGCTGAATTCATCCTGTGACTCCAGAACAAACCAAGATGAGGAAAGTGAAGCGTAACCCCCCCCCCCTACCCCCCCCACTTGAAATGTGCAATCCTTTAGTTTAGTTTCCGTGTACATATTTTCTTTTTGCGTTGCTGCCATCGTCAGCGAGGAACATGGATTTCTGTGTCTATTTATTTTGGCTTGCTGACACTGATGTAAGCCCGGTGTAATCACCTCAGTGTCCGCGAGGTCCTGTTATATAAGTGTTGTTACCCGTGATGTAATGGGGTGCGAGTGTGAGCGCGTGTGCGAGCGTGTGAAGAGTTCATTAATGTGGGCGCTTGGACCGCGGCCACGAGAATCTCCTGAAAGCACGTAAAAAAAAAAAAAAATGAGAAAAAAAAAAATAAGCAGAGAGCGATTCCTTCCACTTTGGGGGCACTTCAGCGTGAAACTCCCTCCCACATTCCCTCGTGCTTCGCACCACGGAGGTCCTCGTTGCCATGGTGATCTCATCGCCCAATTCATCCCCTCTTCACTTGACCCCTTTTGATGAAATCCTGCCCAATTCTCGCCTGCCTGTGTACAGATGTACTGTAGGTTGTACTGTAGGGACGTGTTTTTGGAGCGAAGCTGCAGATAGATTGGGTGTTAACATCTGCTATTTTTAAAATGTACCTTCAAACAGCGCTTTCACCGCGTTCCTCATTTTAACTTTAGCAAATGAACTCAGACTCTCGGGAGCTTTTAGGAAACAAAGCGATGAAAAAGTGCGTTATTAAAATAAGATGTGAAGAAACCTGCAGCATTGTAACCTCTGATAGGCTGAATATGATTTTTTTATTTCCTAATTCAAAGGAGAACAATGACTGTGCATGCATCACTAATTCTTGTTTGGGGAAATAATGACAAGTGCTCTGAATTTATTTTAATATAAGAAGTCTTATCATTGCAGTTATTGGTTATTTATCGTATTTCATCTGCAGTCCCTGCCCTTATAATCGCACACAGAAAAAAAAGCATGTACACAATAAAACACCCCCCAAAATTAGTTCATTGCACCTTACCAGCCACTGCCACAATTACACCTCCCCTCTCCAAACCTCGAGCACCCGTCCTTCCCTCCTCCCTGGAACTCGCCCTTCCCGTCCTCTTCTCTGAAACCGCTTTGCTTCAGCCAAAAAGAATCCAAATCAAAATACAGCTACTTTTTAGAAAGACCAAATTGTGTTCTGTCTTTCCCCCCCTCCCCTCCCTCCCTTGCCTTTTTCTGTAGTTGTGGTGGTGGTGGTGTGAGTCTAAAATCGGATGTGTAACAATGTGTGCATTACAGCAGTTTACACATGCGGAGCCCCGTGTCAGTGGAGTGCAATTACACTTGATTACACTCTCAAAGTAGCCTTTGCTCACCAGTAAAGTTTGTTGTAGTTGGTTTTTAGTTTCTCTGCAAGTAAACCAAAATGTGTAAACAAACATCACATGGACTCCCAAGTAGCTCACTTATTCGACAAAGTTTTGGTGACTTTTAACTGCACGTAAAAGACGGGCGTGCCCACGGCGGCGGCGCGCATTGGTTCGTGAACACCTGCTTTTGAAGCAGGTCATCGTCTTTGTTTGTTGAAACTGGACGTGATGAGCACGGGGCAGAGCTGACTGAGAAACCGAGGAAAACTGCGGCCTCGTATTTTTCTTTAGTGGCTTTTTTTCTTTACAAAGGACTGTATTTACAAAAAGACACCATGTTGGATTAAATAATACTTCAAATTTTCAAACTGAGACTAGAAACTCCTCAAGAAGGTGTTCGTTAGGGTCACAAGTTAAGGGTCAAAGGAGTCTGTTAGTGTTGGTAAACCATAGACTGGAATATATATAAAAGGTCGATGAAACCACCATAACGTCACCCACGTGGATGTGAAGACCAGTGTACAAGCCTCAAACGGAGCATTTCAACTGTCAGCAGCATGTGTGACATCACCCAGTGGTTTTTCAAGTCCCAATTTGATGCCTCCAGATGTCAGTGATGTTCTTTCCATTGTAAAACACGATTCGACACGTTACTGAATAAACACATTTTTTATTCGTGTGACCCGAGATGAGTGACTGAGCCCATACACTTTTTTTTAAATACGCAAAAAAATAACCCCTAGCCAATGAAAAGGTGTCCATGCTGTGCAGCTTAGTCAGCCTTTTCATCTATTTCACTCTAAATTGGACTATAATTTGCAAGGTGAACATGCTGTACTTTTTTAAAAGCTTGAAACTACTAATTGACACCATAAACTTACAAGATGAAAGAATGCAGGTTCAAGGCATTTCTACGCTGGCTTTACTTTCAGACCTAAACCGCCTCCATCTTTTATATGCAGTCTTTTGTCAAAACAACCATGTCTTGTGACTTTGGCACTGTTTTGTCTTTGTGCCAGTTGAATGTCTCTGGTTTTGTCCTGACATCTGAATTCTGTTAGACGTTCTGACCGTACAGTTTTGTTTTGGGTTTGTTTCCTTTGGTTAGGATTACCATAGGAAACAAAGCCATTACATTACAGTATCAATCCCACTCATCATAAAACAAACCACAGTTTGCCTGCAGAGTCAGTCCGTCACTGGACACCAAACGTCATTATTCTCCCATATCCAAGCTAATCGACCTAAAGGAGGGAAGCGCTGAGACGTCAGATAACCCGTGTAAAATGTGCAGAGTATGAATGCTCAAGAAAAACATTCAAATTTTCAATTTCTTTTTCTCGTGACTTTTTTTTCTTTTCATTTTTGATAACTGGCTACTGTTCATTTGTTAAATGTTCCTGGCAGCATAGACGAGGATAGATTTATTTTTTTTTAAGTGTGTTAAGAGTCACCATGGTAACAAACATTCAATAAATCACAAATCGGATTGTTTATGGATTTGAGACCCTGTATGTAACCTTGTATTACTGTGAAGTAAATGCTTGTATGTGAGTGGCACTGTATGTGAAATACTTAATAAAGAACTATGTCTCATAGGATACAATCGCACTCTTCAAGTTATTTATGTTCCATCCGAGCGTCGGCTTTCAGTTGTGGAAGAAACGTTTGCAGACACGCTGAGAATATACAGGCATGAACTGGCTGGTCAAACATACAAACACTGACAGGCAAAGTTGAAGAAATCGTTAAACTGACAACACTTTGTTGCACACTAAGCCACACCCCCATGCAAAACTGTTCACGAATGATTCCAAAATACAAAGAGCCCAAAGTGATGCCCCAGCTTCTAAATTTGCCACGTCATGATCTAACCAAGCATTCAAAGGATACAAAAGTCCCATCCCAAACTAGCACTAACCAAAGAAATTCCATGCCCATGCCCATACAGTCAGGTTTTTTTGGATTTGCACATTGTTAGGAATGTGATTTTAATGATATTTCAAGTGAGATCATACGCCAAGTAAGTACTGAATGTTTTGCTCAATGTTTTGCAAATTAAACTTATCCTTTTTCTCTTATAGAATTTTAATCTTATTGATAGGACATAATAAGAAACAGACTGATTCATTTTTAAAATGTGACTTTTTAAAAAAAAAAATTCTGTGAATACCAAGAACACTGGTGGGAAGTTGTAGCAGAATTGTAGATCTACTGTATCGCTGTGTATTTGCGCTAAGAATAAAAATATCATTGAACGTCCCTGGTGTTGACCTTTTTGCAGCATCTCTGTTGATATTTTCCACTATCTCTAAAAGGTAGGAGGTCTATGCTGTGGGGCTGAGCTAGTTTAGGTTACCTTGGTAATCAAGGACAAGGTTGACTCTCTCATGCAAGATTGTCACAACAGAACAGTAAGATAAGCATGCGTGATTTATAGACACTCACCTAAATCTATCAAAAGAAAGTGCATTGCTAAAAAAAAACAACAACAACAAAGAAAACTGAAGAGCTGTTGAACTAGAGAACTTATTAATTAATGTCTTTATAGGAGAAATGTTAAAAGGAGCCTGAACAGATGGAGGAGGGCCATATTGGCCACAACTGGCAGATGTCACTGACAGGGTAGATGAGAAGAGCTATGACAGGAAGCACCAGGTTCGGATGAGATTTGCCCTCAGATGCTAAAGCCTCTAGACATGGAAATGTTTTAGTTGACACACCTCTTTAATGTTAGGTTGTAATCTGGCATTGTGCCTGTGGAGTGGCAGACTGGAGTGGTGATTGCAATTTTCAAAAAGGAGATCCTGAGTGAGTGCACCAGTTATCGTACTGCTCAGGCTCCCGGCAAAATTTCTTTTAGGGTGCTGGAAAGGAGGCCCCAGCTAATGGTGGAACCTCAGATTTAGGACAAGCAATGCAGATTCCAGCCTGGTTCTAAAACAGGTGCCCAGATCTTCACCCTTGCAGGACTTCTGAAGGGAATAGAAGAGAATCTGACCATCCAGTCTACTGGTGCTTTATAGGCACAGAGAAAGCTGACAAGAATGGAGTGAGAGCTGTGTCTGCATCCTTGGTATAAAGTACACCATGTTTTTAATGGATGTTGAGTTACCGCTTGTCTCTGATCCTGTTTTTGACGTTTATGGACAGCGTCTCAAAGCGTAGCCAGGCTGAGGAGGGCATCTGCTTTTTGAAGCTCAGACAAGCATTTCTTCAGTTTGCAGTAGATGTGGTTCTATTGGCTTCATCAGAGAGTTCCCATCAGCATGCACTGCAGTGACCTGCAGCCAAGCATGAAACGACTGGGGTGAGAGGTCAGGGTTCTCCACTGAAAATCTCCTCCTTCTGCTTCTTCTGAGATACAAAACAGAGGAAAAAAAGTTAAAATATCTTGAACTCATTTAGAAGTGATGAGAAGGTGAAGTGTGAGTTGGAGATTGGTGTAGTGTAAACAGAAATGCACATACCAGTCTGTGGTAGTGAAGAGAGAGCTCAGCTAAAAGACAAAGTTTTGAATTTACCAGTCCATTAACCTCCCAACCCTCTCCTGTGGTTATGAAATCTGGGTGAATACAGCCACAGCTACTGCATGTCAAAAGAAGCCAGTGGAGGTGGTTTGTGAATCTGGTTAAGATGCCTCCTTCACTTTGAAGCCACCTTTATCAAATTTGGTAACCACCATCTCAGATTTTGGAGTCACCAATGAAAACAACAGCTAATGCTAGCAACTTTGGTTAGCTTCCACGGACTGTTTTGAGGCACAAACACAAATACTTCCTAATTAGTAACACAAATTTCCAATGCTGTATAGAAAAATACAAAGGAAAGAAATTCACCAATTCAACAAAAACACTGCCAAACATTTTATTTAGCTAAGTTGAAGCACAGCAACCGGCTAGAAGGCTGGCTCCAAGAAACCACGCCTCTTAAGATAACTTTATTGTCGCCTAGACAGATGTCAAGAACGGGTAAATTAAGACTACAGAGAACTAAAACCTTTTTGTGCTAGGTTGTAAACATATTTGATTTCTGCTGTAAAGTTTATGGAAGTCTATAGAGATTTACTTGTTTTGAAGCAAACAACCAGTGGCCAGTTAAGAAGCTGCAGGTTTTTTTTGGCACTAGAGCATTAGCATTAGCCAACTTTCCGGAGGCATGGTTGAAAACCCTGCAGACATAACTAAAATACATAAATTCATTTGCTTAATTATATAAATATTTAGTGTTAACATTTGGTTACCAAAACACATTCCAGAAGTCAGGTGCCTCAAGCTTATGCTTTGTCTGAAGCCTGTTTTTTGCTAGCTAAAACTCAAATCCAGCTTGGGGTGACACTGAATCATAGCTGTACCTTGCTAATGAAACAAGGTAGCCAGTGCTGGCAACAACATATAACACACCCAGTTATGGGCTCTGTACTTTAAACATAGCAGTCTTTGAGAAGAAATAGTAGTTCATTGTCAAAACAATAATGTGTGTTGAATGCAATCACCAAAAAGAAAAAAATTATATTAATTATTAAACCAGTATTGGTGTTGTTGTTGAAACACAGAGCCATGGAGACAGCAGTGAGCTAAAGGCTGATGTCATACATTGTGAATTTTACACCTTATTGTGTTTGTATGATGATATACTTTTTACATTGTTATTATTTTACTGTGTCTATAAATCAAAATCTCTTTATCAGAGTAACAAAAAAGGTAGGTGATAGGTAGACATTTAATAAACGAACTTTGAACTCATAGATGACACATCGAGATGTATCAATTGAAACAGAACCATACTAAGTAGAGTGCAGTCATGTATAAATACTAAGAAAAAACAGGATTACAACCTTAATATTTTGAAATGTAGCTTAGAATATGTGTAACAGAGTGGCAGCAGAAAAAAAAACATTCAGAGTTCAGAAAAAATAAGAAAATCTCATTTTGCATGTGTATAAATATTAATACTTATTATTGAGGGACTAGTAAGTAGCAATGTACCTGGAGGGGCAGTTCAGATTGCTGTGCTTGGCTGTGACTATTACTCATATTTCATTGCGATCTAAAATTGAAAATATTAATTTATATTTCTCAGCTGCAATTAAATTAATGGTGGGGCAGAACTGCAATTTCACCATGGACATAAATTAATGAGTAAACAATCCTTTAAATCTACACAATCTTTTGAAAACACAGGCGTGTTTTTGGTAAATGATTGACTAATAAGGTGGGTTTTACTTCCCAGTGGTATTAAGTGTGTCTGTCTGTCTGTCTGTCTGTCTGTCTGTCTATCTATCTATCTATCTATCTATCTATCTATCTATCTATCTATGGAGAGAGAAGAGATGCACATAGAGGGCACACATAGACATGTTCACTGACAGTTGAGAGGGCAACACATATGGGCTTCAACTGGCAGACACAGATAATCACAAACACCACGCAGCTTATCCTCGGTAATATTCATAAAATGTGGTGTAATGCGCTCATGTACCATGACAACCTACTTTCCTCTGAGAGTACATTAAGAATTAACTATCTTTACACAAGCAGCTATATCTGACCTAAATATCGCTGCCTGAACTGTATGGCTGTCTCTGTAATATAAGGCAGCAGCCAGCTTTTGCTATGTCACTGCTATGTAACTGATATAATAGAAACATAATCTATCAATATGACATAAAAAATAAACCATGACTGTAAGTATAATGTTGAATTAAATGCAGTTATTAAATGAATACAATGTGTAATCATGTGCAGACTACAAAAGTAAGAATTTCTACAGTAAACCTGGCTTATCAATAGCTGCTCTATACACCCCAGTTTGCTAGGAGGCTGGAATACCGTGTGTAAAATAAACAAACGCAGACTGCAACGACCTGCAGATGAGCCAAAAGATGTTATCTCAACAGCAGCATATTTTGTTCATGTATATTCATCTACAGATGCATCATACATGCATATCATGAAGCATTAATGGTCACACGCATTCAAGTTCTCCATACCACATGTGCTGCTTGGAGCTATTATTTTAAATAACCTGCAAACCATTGCTCCATGAATCTGCATGTTACAAACCATTATTTTTGTTTTTGGAAAGTGGTGGTTGTATATCCACAGTAATCAAACAATCTTTTAGTTTTTAAACATTTCAAAATGTATTAATGCTCTTCTTCTGCTGAATTGACTAAATGTTTGCTAAGTGTATCAAATTAGCACAGGAACACAGTTTCTAGCTTGCACATATTTACAGAGTTAAAAATATCTGTTGCCTCTGTTTGTAGTTCAAAGTAAATATTTTTGATAGAAATCTACTGCATACGTTTCTTACATGTTAAGAAATTGTTCTTTGTTATTGTGCAAAATGTTTGATCTGATTACAAAATAAATGAATGTTGTTATTGACCATGATGAATATTAATGTTACAGCTTATCGTCTTAAGTTTACTGAACACGTTCTGTCAAGTTCGATTATTCTACCTCAGTTGTATCTATATTCACAAACTGGCCTGTCTATTTAACTGGTTATTAATGCGAATATAAAGAACTGGAATTATATAGTACTTTTATTGCTTTACATGGGTTAGAAAAAGACTTGCATCATGGCTGTTCAGTAACAGTAAAGACGTCTGCTCCTCTGTTTGACATGTGGGTATGTAGGTGAAGTGGTTCCAGCGGGGTTCTGCTCTGAAGTCGCCCCAGAGCCCCGCTGAGGTCAGAGGGTTCGTAGCGTGAATCCTCCCGGTGTCCTTAAAGACGGGTCGTATGACCACACCCCTATGACGACACCGTGTCGTAGATCAAACTGTATCCGTTTTCACTCATGGGTCAAGTTATAAAAAGTGAACGAGCGCAAAACCGGCTGGTCTGTCTTTCATAATAAAAGTCTGATCTCACGGGACCCTGGACACAAAATCACTGCTATTATATGATACATTTTCAAACTCGTGATGAAATGTCTTGAGGTTAGAATGAACTCTTTTAGCTTTTACCTGGTATCTGGCTTGTTTGTCATGAGAAAACAACTTAACATATATAACTTATAATAATTCTATTTTCTATCCAAATCAGGAATCATGTTTTTGGCCTTACGGTTTGTATGGATATCCTTTAAAAAAAAAATTTACATTTCTTTTCATATCTTACATTTTGTTACAGTGAACATATCCCCAGGGGAATCACGGTAGAATGCATGCTTTTAAAATTGTATTTTATGTGTGAAAGAACTTCACTTTGTGTTATCCCGAGGTATGTAATGGGAGAGGGTAACAGATGTGAAAATAAGCTATAGACCTAACAAATACAATCCTTGAACACAACAGATATGAAGGAATATTAAGGGGAAAATAGTTATAAAACGTGTATGTACCCCTTTTTTAATTGATTTAATACAAATAGGTGAATATTATTTAAAATGTTGCATTATAAAAAAGTATGTCTTTAATATAACCCTAAATTAATAACATACGTTTCATATCTTATTCTTCAGCGCGACTTTTATTTTGAAAGGCAATCCCAGAAGTGCAGCCCAATCTTTTAGCTCTGACACTCGCTCTTCGGGATTATTCGTAAACTCAAGTGCCCCCCAACCCGCCGATGAGAACTGCAACTGTTTATTTTTTTGTTTGTTTTTTTTTTTTTTTTTTTTTACAGCTGACACATTTCCCATTTCGATCAGGTCAGTCTCTTTTTCTCTACTTGTATGGCTCGCTGAACCCTGAACCTAGTAGCTAACCACAGCGTAGCCAACAGCAACAACAGCGCTGTTACTCAGTGACAGCAAACAGGACGCACACTGCACGCGCGGATCCACGCCCTCTATCTCTCTGCTTGTGTTTATATTTCATTCTGAGCCCGTAAAAGTGGTTCTAACCCGCGGAGCCGGCTCCAAAAGTGTTCCCCGGTGTTATTTTGTGAGTCCCGCGGACGGCACCAAGTCAAACACAGAGGGGGGTCTGCTGTACGAGCTCGTAAAAGTTTATTAACGACGGAATTAGCTTCAGAGGAGAGATGAGTGCTTCTGTTTTCCCACCCTCTCATCTCCAAAACGTTAGGTTTCTGCACCAATGAAGGGGAGGGAGAGACAGGAGGAGGAGGAGGACGGGGTGGTGGTGGTGGAGAAGGGGGTGTTTAACAGTCCTACAACCATCTTCTGTCCCGTTTATCCGCCATATAGGCCAGCTCGATACTGCCGTGAACTAACTTCCTGCATGTGGCTGTAGCTTGAACGGGATTTCTGGGCTGAGCGGTCACTGCTGCTGTCCATGCGTGAGCCTCTTCTCCCCCCTCCGTGGATGGTGCGGAGTAATATCATTTGGAGAGGCCGAGGCCGACATTTTACCCCGGTCCGGAGGAGCATTAACTCGGAGGGGACATCCGAGGACACGCGTTAAGGTAAAGCCCGTCTCGCAGCTTTGTGCCTTTGGACAAATACATAAGCATTTACGTAAAGTTTTACGACCGATAATTAACTGACAAAATATTTAAAGCACATATAGAAAAAAATATGACGGCTTTTAACGGTCTTCTGTGATAAAAATGGCTACTTTCACACGGATTTACACACTGTAGCTGCACGATAAAGAACTATACTTTTGAATTTGGAATAATAAATGCACCACGTTCACAAAAACATCTGGAAATATATGCTTTCCACGTGCGATATACGTAACAAGTTAGCGTATATATATATATATATTTATTTTTTTTAATGTACCAAATTACACTTTTACTACCCCATTTCACGCTACATAACGCATTTATACCGTTTTGTTTATGTTTCCTATGTGCGCGGCCAGGCAGCTTTTGCTCCCGGTGTTTATTCTCTGTAATGGCTCAAACTTTACAGTTGCTCGCCGACAAAGATTACATTTAATGACGGGCATAACTTGCCTCGGCCTGTAACAGCCACCATCAATCGGCAGCAGCACCTGCAGGTGGACCTACAGAAGCCAAAGTTGTTCTGAGATTTATTCAACTTTAATGTAACGAAAGTCCGAGTCGGTGTGGACAGAGAGCGGCCACCTGACCGCAGCTGGGGCCGTTAAAGCGCCGGAGCCCATCCACAGGCTCTCAAATCGGCCGTATTAACAATTAATATTGGACATCCGGTGGCACTGCCAGCTGCGCCCCATTTTTATTGTCTGTGCGCTGAAAGGATCCCTGTTGTCTCGGCTGGATACTCCGCGAAGCGTGGTGGCTGCTTTAGGTAGGAATATTTCTTTTTGCGTTACATTGCAGTTTTAAAAAAGTAAACTAAAAATGCGTAAAATGTGAATGTGAGGTGTGAAAGAGAAAGGAGGGAGGCTGGATGTGGGAGCGCGGCTCTCCAGCTCGCCGTGCCATGCGGGACACGCTGCTGGCTGCCACCATGGCACCTTCCCTTCGTGCTCTGGCTCTTTATGTGCTGCTGCTGCTGTTGTTGTATCCAGCTGTGCGGGGACACAGCACCGTTGTGCCCCGTCAGTTCGATTCCACCGACCGGGTCAGTGATTAAAAGGTTTATTCGGGAATATTGCGGACGCGCACTGGATGGACGGGGAAGACAGGCGAGGGGCGGCAGAAGGGGGCCACTTTTGCTCTCCATCGTTACGGGAAACGGAGCTCCAAGGACACGGAGAGGCGGGGGCGCATCCAGGTCGTTTTGGGTGTTTGTTCTTGTATTTTTTTTTCTTTGCAGTTATTAACATGTTTTAATTTTATTACTGGAGATGCGAAAGATTTTTCCCAGGCAGACCGACCTTTGTCCGCCGCCTAGATTTTTGGAGCTTTAATTTGGCAAATTGGCTTCCCAGACACACTGACAGCCAGATCGTCTCTCCTCCCCGCTCTCCCGCCTCCTCCTCGCTGTTTTCGGCCACACTCTCTGCCATCACAGCCTCTCACTGGGCTCCTTCTGAATTTACTTTTTTCTCACTTTCAGTCTCTCTCCCTCGTGCGTAACCTCCATTCATTCGTGCATTTTGCCTTCAGCCTGGAGTTTTTTCCCCTGATTATTTCTGAAGAGGCCTCCAGCTGCAAAAGGTTCAGTGTCTGGTCAGACTGCTTTAATTTTGCCTCGTGGTCCAGTGTCAGAATGACTTGCTTCCACTCCTACATGTGTGCGTTATACCCAGCTAGCACTATACTACGTTAATTCTGAAAGTGCAAAACAAGTTTTTATGGAGAAAGTGTGGTAGTATGTGGAACAAAAGTACCATAAATTATCACATGACTGTTTGAAACTTCAAAAATAATAATAATCATAAGAGAAATAGCTGGCACTCCATAGGCAAGCGCTATACTTATATCCTTGCTTGCAGACTGTCATGAGGACAGCTGCCACACCATGGACATGTAGTCCTTCCTGTTATACTTTCAGTTAGGTTAGGGGACAATTTAAGCAGTTATGTCTAGTTGTTCCATTGCAGTTTCATTAATGAACTTCTGAATACTCAAGAACTCTCACTCTCTGGATTTTGAGTTTCATTTGGTGAGATAGTTCACAACTACTGGAGCTCTACAGAAGGCAGAAGGCAAAAAACTGAAATTTTGACTTTTTATTTTTTTATTTTGGTAATCTTAGTTTAGTTTTTTCCCCTCTCTGTTTTCCAGGTTTCTCTATTAAAACACCTTTCTGTAAGTATTAGGGACCTCAAAGCTCCAAGAGCCACTTTACAGTGACATCTGCTGTTTTGATTCCAGGCATGAAGCCATTCATTTCAGTTGCATTTTTATTTATATAGCATCAATTCATCACAACTGTCACCCTAAGTCTCTTGACATTGTAAGCTAAAGACCATATAATGCTAGAGAAAAAGGACCAACAACCAGATGTGAACAGCGTTTGGTGACATTGGGAAGGAAGAGCTCCCTTTTAACAGGAAGAGACCTCCAGAAGAACCAGGCTCAGAGAGGGTCAACCATCTGCAGGAGAGATTAGCAGTGGCCACCTGGTTGCATTCACTTTCAACCACCATAAGCTGCTGCTTCTTATAGGCATATGAAAGTATCAGTTGTGGTTGAGCTATGCTCCTGATCTGTTTTAGTTATCTTTTGGAAACAGGCACCTTCAGGGCAGACTCCTCTGCCCTATTCACGGAGCAAAATTAACATGCATTTGCGAGATGCTAGCATGCTTTCTGAGAAAAACTAAGACATAAGTGTCATTTTATTTCAGTTTGGACATTACGGAATACATAAAACACTACTGTTCATTGAGCTCCCTCTGCTGCAGTCTCGCTTTCACAGCAGCCAGTTTCGTTCGACAGTGGCATTGAAAGAACGATTTCTGAGAGAGTAAATTGGAAAGCCCTCAGATTTCTGTCCAGAGCCTCATTAACCCTCTGATAGTGAAGCTCACCCCCCACACTTACTTTCATTCTTGCAAACAGGGGAGCTGTAACTCTGGTGTCATGGCGATGCTCTTTACCCAAATAAAAACCCCACCACAGGCAAACCGTTTTTAACAACTGCCCGTGTTGGAATACAGTGGGGCTGAAACAATTCATGGATTGGTCACCTAGTTCATCAGCTGAAAATAACCAAGAACTCATTTTGAATTTTAATGTTGTTTTCTTTTCTTTTTTTAGTTTGAAGCAAGAAGTACGTCCTTTTTCCAGCACGTCATTTGAATGACAGTAAATAGACTGGATCTGCATTCTTTATTGTAGCTTGGGCGAAACAATGTGTCAGTTTGGAATGTAGGAACTTGTAAATAAGTTACGTGTCTTTTTTATGATTATTTTCACACACAACAATTGAGAAAACAAATGCCAGATGAATCAATAATAGTGCAACTGTTTGCAGCTTTTGAATGTACTGTAGATTTGTTTTGGAAGGGTACATTATGGCGTGACACACATTCTTTTGAATACTCTGCCCTGTGTTACATAACAAGCTGTTGCAAGTATATGGGTTCAGTTTTATTTTGCATGTTCTGTGCCCACACAGTGTTCACAGGATAATTACTCCAGTGCATTTGTAATAGACTAATAGAAAAGTCAGCTCTAAGTGTACATGGGGTTAGAAATGGCTGCAATTACTGTAAGTTCTGAAGGCATCGAAAGGTCCTCTGTGGCGGGGGATGGCTGGTGGGTGGGGGGGCTCCATAACAAGGAAAAGTAAATTTCGTCATGCACCACCTGCACTACATGAACCATTTTCTTACCACATTGTGAGTGTTAGCATATATATTTACTTTGCCAGTGTGCGTCCAGTGTTGTTACATAAGCCACAGTTGTGCAGGCATCCACTTTGCTTGCGGAGTCTTGTTTACAAAGCGCTAAATGCATCGTTGGCTGGATGTAAAGCCTATGGTTATTGGTTGCTGTTGACTTTTTTGTTTCCCCGCTGCCTTGCTGTGAACTCTGTGAGTGTGTTTATGAGCAAAGAGCCCTTTGGACCGTGCCCTATATTTAACCAATGTGCACAAAAGGATTTCTCAGCTGTTATTGCATGAAGCCACCTATATCAGCCGTGGTATGAACAAATATAAATACAAGTCTGTTTGGTGTATCTGTTTCATTGTGCAAATTTCCCCTGTAGAGGCAGCAAATAGCTAGAGGAGCACTGTGTTCATATAAACAACATTAAAAGAAATGGTAAATAGTACGCCATGGGCACATTTGCATGTGCGCTTCGTTCCTGTTTGCAGGATATATCAGCACCAATGTCGCATCCAGCAACAGAGGGGAAAGTGGCTTGGTAGCCTACTAAATGTCATTTTGATTTATCGTATTCAAAAGCTTTTTTTTAGCTCTGGTAAGTGCAGAAATAGTCAAAGCTGGCACTCAAACAACTTTGTTGGTACTAGTGAACTGCTTCCTTAATAATCTACATCGCTTTAACCCTTAGCGCAAACTCCCAGAGCTTCGCGTTTCAAACGGTCCCGCTCTTTGTGCTGTAAACTTTATGATAAATAATGTGTATCTTTTATTCATTTGTATGAAGCCTAGATTATTATATTTGTTCCACCCATTGGTTATCAGCTTCAGAGCCCTGCATGTGTCTGATAAGTGTTTGTGTACACAGTATGTTGGTAGCTGGCTTGTCTCATGTGCCAAATACCAGTTTTCCATTTGGCGTGCCAAGGCAGTGTCATAACCACCCAGCCAATCCTCATTTCCTCATTCTTGTGTGCCTGAGGTCAATCCACAGAGAACGTATTATGGCATTGTTCTCAAACACTGAACCAGGGTCTGTGTGAGCTGCTTTCTTCGACTTTTCCACAGGTACTGAACAGTAGGTCTGCATTGTTCCTGCGGCGTGTGTGTGTGTGTGTGTGGGTGTTATGTTGCTCAGTATTTCATCATGTTGCCATCTGAAAAGAGCCGGGTGTATTCGGCGCCTGCAATGTGGCGTCCCCCCTTCTCCTTTAAGGGAGAATCAGAGTTTTGGTTACACAAACATTAATGAATGGAGCAGCTGAAAGCAACGTCAATGCTCAAGTTTACCCGTATGAGGCGGAGCTAAAGAAGCAGTTCTTCAGTGGACCAGTAAGATAGTCAGATGAAAAGCCATTTACTGTGTGTGTTCGTCTCCACCGCTGTTGCTCATAAACAATTAAAACATCAGTGAGTCACAGTGTTGCACTGTGACATGTATATTTTGAACACACTGCAGAGGTTTTTTTTGTTGCTTTGTTTCAATCTGGCGTGCAATCTGTGCATCTGTTCGTGGCTGAAAATGGTCCCCGACAAATGCACCATTTCTTCCTGTTCAGTGTGGAATTGGTTGAAATCTGTGAATTTTCCACCCGCCTGTCCTGCACCTCTTGCCTCTCTTCCCTTTCTATTCTAAGCCCCTTCAAACAGACAAGTACACGACACATGCTTCATAGGTCAATGCTGACTTTTGACTTTATAATTCCTGCGATACCGTGTTCAGATATCGGTCCAGTCTTTACTCAAAAAGCTACGCCTTTTATCAGTGACAACGTGCAGATCTGTGAGGTCAGTTGTTTAATTCTGTGTTTAACGCACCATCCGTCAGTGTCGGTGGGCCAGTTGTTAGCAGGAGATGTAACATAGTGTGAATGAAATTATCAGCAGAGGGTTAGAACTTTGTAGTATTTCGCACTAGCATCGGTAATAATTTTGCTTGCGCATTACTGTCCAAAAGTCTTGACTCACCCCTCATTTCTTTATATTTTGCTTGCAAGAAGCCACACATTATTTTTTAAAGAGGTCTTGAGCTACAGGTTTGTTTGTTTTTTCTTATACTAATTTTCAGTTCTTGTACCTGTGTGAATCATTCAAACATAAAAAGGCAACTGACTCAAGGGATAAACCAATGTTCTGTTTACACATAACAGACAGTTTGGTGCCAGACAAAAGATCTGGCAGGCGTAAAAACTATCTGCAGCAGATGAACTGTATCTGAAAGTCATGTCCTTAAGAAATACGAGAAAATCCAGCAAAGACCTGACACAGGAGAGATGCATCTGGTCTTTCTGGTAAACCATCGATGTTTACCAAAACCTCATCAGAAGTCTCAGTGGAAGAGAGGTTGCCTTGACAGAGAGAAAACACTGAAGCATGCCAAATTACCCAAGAACTCGACTGAAAATCATCAGTGGCAACAGGTCTTATAAAGTGAATTTCAAACTTTAAATTTTTGGTTCAGATCACTATCAATATGTACAGAAGTGGTTAGGAGAGAGGTACAACAATAAGTCTCTGCAGCCACCTGTAAAACACATTGGAGGCTCTGTCGTGTTGGGGATCTTGACATAATTGGTGGAATTATAAATACAAGAAAACACAAACAGATTTTGAGCCACCTTGAAATCTGGAAAGTATCTTATTGGCAATGGAAAATAGGCTGCCAATTCAGTGAAAGAATACCTGGATAGAAAAAACACATTGGAATACAACAGTTTTGGATTGGCCTCCTCAGAGCCAGGCGTTATTGAAAGAATGTGACAGAAGACGTAACAATAGGCAGGCAGCAAAGCCTCCCTACTGGAAGCTGGAAAACTATTCTGCTCCGAGAAATTCTGAAGACTACTTAAAGAAATGACAAGAAACCTTGCCTAAGATTTCAGGCTGTGTTGAAAAATAAACATGGTCATACCAAGTATTAACTTTAAGCTAGTTAGAATTGTACAAACTCCAGTTTTTGCCTTATCTACTGCACTTTCATGTGTTTGCACTGCTAATTTCCCTTTTTTTTAGCTAAATGTAAAAAAATAAGGGGTGGCTCAAGACTTTCGCACAGTACTGTATGTTTGGAGCGGTTGTTCTCAAGTTAGTTGGCACGACTGAAAGCTCTGATTATGATGCTATCCCTGTCAGGCTCTCTGTCTCTTCCTCTTGGGAAGCTTTTATTGCACTCAAAGTTGCAGAGCGTTTTGTCATCAATGCATTTATTATTGTTTCATGTCGACTTTCTTTTGTGATAGCCAGTCTACATGCAGTGTGTGCAGATAGCTGGCCACGGTACCTGTAAGGTACTGAAACTGGAAGAACTGGATGCATATCAACTTTGTACTTATCACCTGATCTGACCTGAAAAAATAGCAGTTTGTCAAAGTATGTGACCAACATTATTTAGGGTTTTAAGTAAGGTTACTTGTGATGTTTTTAAAATGTAAAAATAAAAGAAAAACTTATTTTTAAAGATTGATATTAATAAAAGAAGGAGTGAATCAGTTGGGCAGTGAAGAGAGCAGACAGAGATGGACTGACTTCTTTCTTTTTTTGTTTGTTTGCTCATGACCTTGGCAGTCATGATACAAGCTAACACAGCTCAATTCAACTTGTCAGCTAAGCTTAACTAGCTTGCTTTGCACATTTTTCACTTAGCTGGACAAGAGCTAATATTTAGCCTTGAGGATATTGACTTCCTCCTGCCCTGCATACTTTAGCCTTTTGATTCCATAGCATGCAAAGCATGGAAGCTGTGTTTTATTGACAGTTTAAACTTAACTAGTGCATTTGAGAGCTGTTTAACTTTAGCACTAATCTTTAGATTATCTATCCAAACTCTTCTCCTTTCCAGCTCATTGATCCTCATCCCACACTGGTCATGTAATGTTTAACAAATGAACATCAAAGTTCTCCTTTAATGCACATAACAGTAGAAATGACAAATGCCAGTGAATCACACGAATGCTTTGTCACACAACAGAATTCAACTTTTATCTGGTGCATGAAAGCTTTTGCATTTGCTGTTTTAAACACTCGTTGTTAGCAGAGGTTTCTCAGGAAGTGATATGTCCTACATTTTTGCAGCACCAGCATCTTTTTTTTTTCATGTTGAATGAATGGATGTATTAATAGAAAGCTAGCCAACTAATGTAAGTAACAATAGCTGCCGCTGTTGAACAGACAAATAAAGAGCTCTGAACTCATTAATGTTTTGCTTTACAAATACAAAATATATAAAAAGAAAAACACCACAATAAACAAACAAAAGTGAATTTCACAGATTGCCCTTGTGAAATGTTTTCTGTCAAAGAAGCCCATTCATCTAAGAGCGGCACTGTGGATCTGTTATTAAAAAGACACATTTAAAACCTGCATTGTATCATCTGTACCGCTGTCGTCTCCTCCTTTCGTGCCGATCAAACAAACTGAAATCAGTAGCAGCAAACAGACAACTTGTGCTGCACGAAGCCAACAAAACAATATAAGGCTTATGTAACACTGTAACATTTTTGTGTTCATATTATGTATTGCATCCCGAGGTTTCATTGTCACATTGATTTGCTCCCTTTTTTATTGTTTTCTCCATCAGGCTGAGAAATCGAGAGCTGCAGAGCTGCGACATGTGAAAAGAGCTCACCCACTTGGCCTACTCACCTCTCAATCTTAGGTAAGTACTTTCTTCCATTTCTCTTTGTGTCCTTTTATCTACCTTCACTTCTATCTTTGTGATGAACTCTTCTTTCCCTCTTGTGTCTCTGCTGGTGACATCTCAATGCTCAGACCTGAACTCGGTCGAGTTTTTCGCTGCTGAACTCACTCACACTCACGTTGGGACTGCGACCTGACAACCTCCTGCCTCGGGCATGCCTCAGGTAAAGTATGAAAGCTACAGTGGCTCTCACCCATCACCTCCGAATTATCCTATTCCTTGCTTCGGTGTTGGATTTACTCTGTGTCTGTGTGTGTGTTTTACCTCCTTTCCAGCCGGGTATGAATGGGATGGAGCCTGCATTTGGCGAGGCCTACGGGGGGCACAGGGGTCTGATGAGCCCCTACCCTCTGGCCATGTCGCCACAGGGAGGCAGGACAGAGTACGACCAGGTAAGACAGCACAACATGGACAGAGCCAAAGCTCACGCAGCTTATAGTGTGACCTCGGGTAGACACTGTATAGGACACACAGATATATTAATAGCTGCCTAATTTGAGTTAGTGAGTCATTGTAGCAATTTAAATGATGTCATTAGTGATTGATCTATTAGTGGACAATACCGTGCTCTTACTTTGAAAGTATATCTTATTGGCTAGCTTGCTGGCTGTCAGTGCAGTCACGGTTCAGCTGCTTCCCCAGAGAGGATTTCACCCTGATGTCAGATCCAGATCCAGCATCTGCACCTGGTGATACTACAGGAGGAGGAAACCTGATTCATGTGTAGCGATGCTCAGCTCACTGAGGCTGCAGAACAGAATAAGCACTGTGATCACCGGCCTATTTGTCTATAAAGTGAAAGACTTGCGGGAGCAGCAGCTGATTATAATGCTCAGTTATAAATTTGCCAACCTGCCAAAAATCAATTCTTAATCTCTGGGAAAAAATGTGTTTTTCTTTAAGGACAACAAAATATGACCTGTTTTTTATTTGTAATGTAGATTTTATTTGCATTCATTGTTCAATCTGTACTATAGTTTTGTGTTTATTTTCTTCAGGAGAATTAACACGGGCCACAGGCTTGATGATGATTGGATTATGAACCATTTCCAATCCAGTTGATCTTTAACCATTACATCTTTCACTACACCGCACATTAGAGCTATTTCTCAACTGTATTTAAACACGTGCTTTTATAACAGCACGGGAAGAAGTCTGGAAAGACATATCATTAAACAGATGCCCAGGTAAACTGTGCTTTTATGATAAAGCCTATATTATTAGGTTACATACAGCGATGAAGTCATCCTTCCGCTTCAGTGCTGTCACATAATCCTCCTCCTCTGTCTGTGTGTGCATTGATGCATTAAGCTGCTGCATGTCTCTTCTCTTTAATGTCCTATCATGCCTCTATTAGGACTATAATGAGAGCTCAGCAGCAGTAACCGCAGTGGCAGAAGGTCAGGTGGTCAGGCTACGGCAGAGTGGGAAATATAATTGGGACACAGGACCGTTGTTTGTTTTCTGTTTTTGGTTTCTGCTTGAAAAGCCATTAATCCTCTACCACTCTCAATCTTTTTGTATGTATATATATACATCGCAAATACAGTTTATTTATTTATTCAGCAATGTTTAAACATCATGCCTCACATGAAAACAAGACCGAATTCTTCACGTGGCATCTCAGTTATCAACAGTCTGTGTATGTGGGCCAGGTGTGAAATAATCCTGACAGGATTACGGCACTGGGGGAGGGTGGGTAATTTTGATTAAGGGTTTTTTTCCCCCACACAACTCATTCTGACCTGTTTTAGTAGCAGAAGTAGAATCACAATTTAAAATGCTAGTAAATGCTGTCATTTTACACCAAAATAATCTTTAAAATACTGAATGATTTAAAAGTTTGTTTCTTTTTTTGTCACAAATCATATGTTTAAGTGTCATTTATCTCTGTCCCCCTTTTAGAGTGTGCTCCTTATGCTGGGCTCCCCAGCATTGCCAAGGAAACGGCCCTTTGAGTTGCTAAGCGACCTGGTGGACGACGGAGGCTTTGGTGAAGACCTGCACCCAGAGCGCTGGGATGTGTCCGCGCTGGATGAGATGGCTCGTTACACCAAACTGGGCCTCGGGGTCGGAGGGGAGCTGCTGCCCTGCTCCGAGGAGGCTGTGCTGATGGGCTGCTGGGGGAGGAGCCGGGAAGAGCAGGAGGAAGAGGATGAGGAGGAGGAGAGGAGGAGGAACAGACACGCAGCCCCTCCTGGCACCCCGGAAGTCCAGAAAACTGCTTCAGGGAAGGAGGAAGAGGAGGAGGAAGGGTGTATCTCTGTTGCCCGGACAACAGAGCTGTGTGTTTCAGGAAGAGTGACTGAAGGTGGACAGGATGAGGGGGTGTCAAGGGAGCGCACGGTGGAGGTGTATCAGGTGGCCCAAGAGGAAGAGGAAGCAGCAGCAGCTGCAGTAGGACTGGCTCTGGAGCACTGCAGCGAGGAGCACAACTACTCCCTGAGCCAGGGGGGGGAGCTGGGGGCAGGAGCTGCTCACAACTCCCAGACAGAGGAGGTGCAGGTGGTGGAGAATCAGCAGGAAGAGCAGGATAGGGAGGACAGCCAGGCCGAGACCGAACTGAAGCTGGAGGATGAGGATGAGGATGAGGAGCAGGACGAAGACGAGGAAGAAGAGGAGGAAGAGGGAGAGGAGGGAATGGAGGAGACAGTGGTGGAAGCTGAAATTTCGAGCTCCTCAGAAACTGAATGTGGTGAGTTCTGGCTTCAGTGTGCGTGCGTGCGTGTGTGTGATGGCGAGGACATCTCGGCTCATCACAGCGCGGCCAGCAGCCTGTCTGCCCACACACAATCCATTTTGTTCTGTCTCCAGTCCAGACGAGACCTCAAACCGTCTCGTCTGACTTGGTTGGCTGAGCACAGGCACATGTGATACCAAATTTTGCGGGTGTAATTCCCAGACTTCACACTGCTTCAGTGACTACAGTGTTACTGTTATAAAATGGCTTTGAGGGCTGAAGTGTCTTTGGGTATTGAAATACCATCTGCAACAGGCGCGCTGCTTTGTTTCTGGGATGGGTGGGGGTTTAGCTGAGCACGTTAAATAGGGTATGAAAGTTGGTACAGATTGTTAAACAACCATTACAGAAGAACGGGATTTCTAAGCAGCTTCAAAAGCAGCATAAACATGCCAGCTACAGACTGCAGCATTCAGCTGGTGGCTCATTAAAAACCATTTTTCTTGCCTCATTATTTCTTTACAGCCCACTTATCTCTCATTCACAAATATCAAAGGTACATAGTACGACTCAAAAGCAGACTTGATCAGTTAATTCTACGACTATTTTGGTAATTGTTTAACTGTAAAGATGCCAAACTATTCCAGGTTTTCTGCTTCTGTGTTTTATGTAATACAAATAGTAGAAATAATCTTTGCTTTTCAGACTCTAAATGACAAAAGAAGAACTTTGAAGCTGTCACACGGGTTCTGTGAAATTTAACATTGTTTCATAGTAATTGATTTGTTGCTGTTGTCTTCAGGATGCACAGTTTGTGTGCTAAAAAGCATTCCTATAACGTGTTTCGATGACCAGTCATGTGGACTGTTTGTAATTACTGCTAAAGAAACATTTCTTTTCTATGGCGGATTGAAGTCTCCTGGTCATAGCACCTTTGGGTGTGTGCCAGTACTGAGTACCAGAGTTATCATAGATGTGTGCTTTCTAATGACATATTTTCAGTATTTTTTTTTTTAATTTTCAACTCTAGTTTCAGTTAAACTCTGGCATGAGTTTACTGTTATTGTTGTTATGTTTGGTTTAGCTTTCATTAGTTTCAGTGTCAGTTTTCGTCTTATTAATTATTATTATATGAAATTGTTTGTTTGGGACAGAATGTTGAAGTGTTACATTACAGACAGATAATATTTTGAAATTGATTTGAATTA